TTAAACATGTGGCTAGTGGCTACCATAACGGACAGCGAAGCCCTAAAACTACATACAAACACAGCCAGCCTCACAAACACAATGCTGCTCTTAAAAAAGCAGGTGGCAGCATACATACAATATGAAACCAATTTTTAGGAAGTTAAAAAGCATACCAAACAATTCTATATGGCTTGGAAATACAGAGATACTTAGTAAGAAGAAATGCATGGGAATGAGAACCACAACTGAGGAGAGTGGTTACTTATGTTGGGGAGGGATAGCCAGGCAGCCTTGACCACACAGGTCACATTTTATGCTTTTTTTTTTTTGTGAGGAAGATCAGCCCTGAGCTAACATCCATGCCAATCCTCCTCTTTTTGCTGAGGAAGACCGGCTCTGAGCTAACATCCGTGCCCATCTTCCTCCACTTTATGTGGGACGCCGCCATAGCATGGCCTGACAAGCGGTGCGTGGGTGTGCGCCCAGGATCCAAACCCGGGCCATCAGCAGCAGAGTGTGCGCACTTAACCGCTACGCCACAGGGCCAGCCCTACGTTTTATGCTTTGAATTTGGGTGGTGGGCACATGGTGGTTAGCTATATTATTCCTAATTTATACCTATAACATCACACAGTAATTTTTATTCCGTTGTTTAGATTTACAAACAAATGATAAGACCATGCCAGGCAGGGCTTTACCCACCCCTCCCGGGGTACCTTACTAAATCCACACAAACGTACAGCAGCCCCGGCGGGGAGACAGAGAAGGAACACACAGCTTGGCACAACAGTACTGGAAATGTTTTGAAGTTGGATAGTGTTTGTTTTACTGTTACGTTCTGTAACTTGCACTGATGTCGCACCAGTTTTGTGTATCAAATATCACAATAAGAAAAATAGAGCAGATTGTGCTGTGATGCTGAGTGGCACCCCGTTCCCTCATTCCTAGAGCCCAGAAACATTTCCCCTGTGAGACAAGACACCACCAGTACCCACCCCACTCTCCACAACTGTCCCCCTGCAAAATCTGCTGGCAGCATTCCACCAAACTCTGTAATCTGCACCATGCAACTCCCTGCCGCTCCCCACCTCCCAACCAAGTGATTCTGACAATTAGCAGGGTTTTGAACCTCTCCGGCTTGAAAGTTCTGGTCTAGGCAACCCAGTGACTTACTTCTAAATATTCCTGGCCAAGTCCTTCTCCTCTCTGGAATTCTGTTCTCTCAGATCAGCTCAAATAACCTAACCTATGAGAATTAATGTACTACAAGGTTAATCCGTTTAGTTGGTCACAAAGAAAGTTAATTTGAGAATTCTTTTTTAAAATTACAGTAATCTCCTCCAGAGTTGTCATATTATGCTGCAGAACAGCCACAACTACACTGAACAAACATTTCCTGATAGGACTGTGCCAGGCACTGCACTAGGAACACAGCGGTGAACAAAAGCAGCCTGCCCCCAGGGAGCTGAATCTCCAATGGGAGAGACACTGACAAGTAACCTGAGGTGCAACCAGCATTACAAACCAAGGTGCACATAAAGAGGAGGAATTGAGCCAGTCAGTCATCAGGAATGTTTCATTTAGGATGGAGATGAGAGGAGGATGAGAGAGTTGTCAACAAATTGCTCAGAAAGGGGGAATCAAAATAATGAATCACTACTCAACTGTGGAATTTCACAACTAAATCATGAAAAGTATATTAACAGTACCCAAATTAGTCACCTACTATTTCAGAAGCAGAGGTAAACTTATCTCAGTATTTCTTACCATGTCATGAACAAATCTTACCTTTTTTTTTTTTGAGGAAGATTAGCCCTGAGCTAACATCTGTTGCCAATCCTCCTCTTTTTGCTCAGGAAGATTGGCCCTGGGCTAACATCCATGCCCATCCATACTTGTATGGGACGCCGCCACAGCATGGCTTGACAAGCAGTATGTCGCTCTGCGCCCAAGATCCAAACCTGCGAACCCCTGGCCGCCAAAGCGGAGCGCACAAACTTAACCACTACACCGCTGGGCCGGCCCCTGCACAAAATCCTACTTTATGTTCCATTTTTAAAGAGCTGATGGTAACCACCATCAGCCATCAGGTCTGGCAGCCCCTAACAATAAAGAAACATGAGCAGCAACATGGGAGTGTGACAGTGGCCTTTTACCCTAAAGGTTTTTCTGGAATGATCCCAATTTTCACATATTTTATCCCACTATCCTCATAAAACTTCAGATTATCCTAGAAACTTCAAGGGGATTCACCTTGAAGGTCGCAGGGCGAGCCTCTGCCCTTAACCACTGTCACGCTGTCCCTGTCTATTCCTTCTTACACAACTGTGGGATCTTGGGCAGGTCACTGAACTTCTTAGCTTCAGTGTCAGCTGTAAATAGAGACAACAGGACTGGGTGTGCTTACCTACACCCAATGCAGTGCCTTGCAAAGGGCAGGCATTTTGCAATGCATACAGACAGAGCTGGCTGTTCTGGAGTGAGGGAAGCCAGAGTCACTCTGTCTCTACATCCGTGCTTTTTGTGGATCCTACTTCCTGTGACTGAATGCTGATCCAGGCTTCGGTGCTTAGCAAACTGTTCTTCACATGCCAACTCTAACTCTTCTAGGAAACCATCCTGGACACTTCCTCACCACAAAACCATAGCTCTCTCCTTTATCTACTGTGCGTTAGGTTTGTGCCCAAGACCTGATTCTGATGAAATCTGCCTCATGACTTCTCCTGGGCACCGAAGGAAGCTAACAAACTACTGAGCACCCATCTCCGGGCTGGGCATTTTCCCACTGCCTTATTTATCACGATGGCACACGTGCTAGAAAGGCTCAGTGTCTTCCTAGATGGTGTGAAAACCACAAGCTCTGTTTTTCCTCTTTGTTTTTTAAAGTTTCTAATTTAGGAGCACAATGTGTACCTTGAAGCAAAAGTGCCTTTACAACATTTGGTTGAACCTAAGGAAAGGGGGGAGGGGAAGGGAACCCTAACCAGAAACCTTTCACAGGAAACAGGAAGTGGCTGCTCCCCCACCCCCATCCTGCACTCTGAGCATAACCCAACTAGTTATTCTGTACGATTTAGGCGAAAGGGCAGAATCTGAATCAAGAGAGTGAGTTGGAAGAAAACTTCGAAATCATGGAGGTCTGTTCTTACAAGGTGGCAAAGCCACGGCCTGGACCCCGTTCAGCCGGATCCTTCCACAGCGCTCTTGGGGAGGCCACACAAAGACAAGGTTTGGAATCCCAGGGATTGTCATCAGGAATGCACTAAATGCCTCGCAACCTCAAGGGCTCGGGGTTGGAATCCAAGCCTGAATTGTCCAGTGAAACAGCTGACTAACAATGTCAGCTGGGGAATATTTTGATACCTTGGAGTTTGGCCCCATGTAGGAAGAGGCTGCACAAAGAGCTCTGGGACTGAAGAGCCTGAGGAATGGTACGCAAAGGCCGCCTGCCCGGGCTGCCACATTCTCCTCATAGCTAGATAAAGTGGCTCCCAAAAGAGGTTTCCAGATCCGCCCCAGTGGGCACCATCAGAATTGACTCCCGGGAAACTTCCAGCTGTGAAGGGCTAACAAAGCTAGGGCTCTCTCCATTTGAATGTGAAAGACCCGCCTCAATCGGAGAAGCCCTTAAGCCATAAAACCCTTCACACCAAGGCCAAGTGTCACACTTGTAAGAGGGTGTGATTTATAAATTGACAGCACCCACAAAGCTGCTTTTGTACTCCTCCGTTAGTTAACAATTTATCTCCCCCCACCAAACTCACGGAGCTATTCAGATAAAGCTTGACTGGGCCTCAAAAAGAAAGAAAGGAAGGAAGAAAGAAAGGACCCAAGTTTTGGCCAAAACACCAATGTTCACTCTGGATAATTATGGTCCTGTGAATAGACACTAAAATTAGGGTTTAATAATTCCTCTGTATCACACTCACAGCACTAAACTATTCCAATACAAACAGAAAGAGCAAGAAAAAGAAAATCTCCAACACGGCCTTGCTGGAAACTCAAAGAGTTCCACTTTTGTGGTTTTCTGCAGTCTCTTTTGTGGTTTCTGCACTCTTAGAATCCCCCCCTTAGAGCAATTTGAACTCGACGCTCTGGCCAGCTGTTTTTCTTTCTCAACATTTAGCTCTACAAAGCGAAGAGTAAATATGGGCTTGGTCATGTCCTTCCCCTCAGTTCAACAAAACCAATTCTGGCCACTTCATCTTGTTTTCCCCATCGCATGATGCCCTTCTCAGATTCCAACGCCAGCCACGGAACCACGGCTTCTGATTTGCTCCCCACTCCTCCTTCTACAAAATGAATTTAAATTACTGCACCGATTCCAGTAGATTCTAAGCCCCTAACATAAACTATATTAAAAAAATATATACCTGATAACACTTGTCAACAATGAGGCCTTTGTTAAAAGGTTATTTGGTGAGAAAAAAACCCAAAAACTTTATTTTAAAGGAGCAAAACAAAAGTAATTCAAGTTTAAACTGTCTCCCTGCCCAATTAGGACCTTACTAAATTGTCTACCAATCCCCCTCAAAATTTTTTTGTACACAAGAGTAACGGCCTTTGCTCAAAAGCAGTCTTCCTGATACTACTCCATAGCCCTGAGGGCCACATCAGTGGTCCACAGAGCAGATAAGTCCTGCAGGCACGTTCTCTTTAGCCTCCACAGTTGACGGGAACAGCATTTGAACCAAGGTGAGTAAGGTTGCCGGTATTAAAAAGTTTGGGACAGAGCATATAAAAATCTACATTTCTGATTCTCTTGAAAAATCACATCTGGCATTGCTGGGTCCACATTCCCTCATGACAACAGCTGGCTGGCGCTAAGCAGCAGCAGCCTCCTTTCAATGGGACAAGCACTGGCCCAGTCTGTCCAGAGCCCTCCTTTTAAGACTACATGCTTGCTTCCCTTGCTTGCAACTGTAACTGCCTGTCCCCTACAAGGCCCCGGGGTTTCTGACCTTCAACACAACCCACCCCCACTCCCCCATCCCTGCCCCCGCTGCCAGTACACATACCTTTTTGACCATAGTTGTCTCAGATGAATCAAGTTTTGCTCTCTTGGTATCAGGTCCATCTTCTACTCCTTGGCTAACTTTGGCAACCTTGGTTTTCTCCCTAGAGGGCGACAAGGTGAGGGAATCGAGTTCTACCCTCTGAATCACCAGCCACAGAACAGGATGGTAGTTAAGAGCAAAAGCTTTGGAGTCAGACAGATCTAGGTTCCAATCCCAACTCAGCTATGGATTATCTGATAAACCAGTTATCCACTATGTGGGAATAACAATCCCTGACAGGATTATTATAAGAAGAGAAATAACAAATCGCCTGACACACTGCCTAGTACATAGTAAGTTCTCAATAAACCTTGTACATTTCACTTGAATCGTGAAATAGAGCCAAACTTAATTCCTCCCCTCTGCCGCGGGGAGCTCACATTAAAATAATCTGGCCTGCTTCTTTATCCATTCTAAACCATGACTTCTTTATCCATTTACAATGTGCCCAAAGAACTAGATCTTGTTAAAGCCATAAAACACTAGAGTTATGAGATCCTGACCATGTTTATCCTTCCCCAATCTTGACTTTACAGGCAAGAAACCTGCAGACTGGAGAAATTTCAGTGACTTGCCTAAGAAGCTAAACAGAAGAAGGCAGTCCTTGTCTTGTGGAATGAAGTTTCACCTACCACACAGGGTCTCTCTCTACCTCTCATTAACAAGGGGGGTGGTCAGAAATTACAGCCAAACAACCAACTCATATAGTTTTACAATATTGGTATCGTCTGCCATCTTTCGTCTAGAAGCTGTTAAGTTCAAAACACTGAAGGTCTCATCATGTGAGCATTACCACGTTCTGCAACCTCAGCGTTCAAAAGGAGGGGATAAGGTCTGTTTGTTCTACCAGAGCCGTCTCTGGACCTTGGAGCCTTTCCAAGGTAGACTCTGGATGAGCATGCCTCTAGAGTTGCCCAGCTAACTATTTTGTACTCATTTTACTATCTCTCAACCTGAAAACACGCAAGCCCAAACTGAGGAACAAATGTTTACAATCCAAGCAAGCCTTCCCTAACTAGAAAGTGTGGCTTCACCACCTGATCAAATATCCATGTGTCGGACTTTGATTGCCTTAAGAACTCTGCTTTTTTTTAAAATTATTTTATTGAGGTCATATTGGCTCATAGCATTGTGTACATTTCAGGTGTAGATTATTATATTTCAGTTTCTGTATAGACTGCATCGTGCTCACCACCAACAGTCCAGTTTTTACCTGTCACCATACAAATGTGCCCCTCTACCCCTTTCACCATCTCCTCACCCTCTTTCCGTCTGGTAACCACCAAACTGTTCTCCTTACCTGTTTGTTTATTTGTTTATCTTCCACATATGAGAACTCTGGTTTCTTTATGCTTTTGATTAGACTATCATTTTGTGGGGCAGAAGCCACATCTCCTGCAACTCTGAACACATAATCTATGTATTCAGTAAGCTGTTAATTGAATTGGTTTCCAAATGTTCTAAGTATTATAGAAAAACACTTTCCTTAAGTGGTTCACTTCCTACCAGCGAAGAAAACTACATGTTGAAAATGTCATGCTCTCCCCTCCCCTCCCAAACTTACTCTACAAATTCATGCTCTCCAAGATTGGCAAATGTGTATCCATGGTAGCCAAAAACATCTCCTGTAAAGAACTTGATGCTATTTTTGTGACAGATCTGGTCAACTTTAACTATGACATCCCTGGAGCAGCAAGTCAGACATACCTACAGAAAGAAAGAAATTGGCTGGGTGTGAGTTTTGCAGACTGTGAATCACGGCCCTGATGTCTAAATAAATCTTAATGAACAGTCTCTCTGGGCATGTCTAAAGCCAGTTTCAAACTGGTACAACAGGTTCTTTGGATCCTATGGTTAGAAGACAAAAAGACAAGTTGCAGGTTTCAGTGTATAGAAAATGTAAATTATGAGATCATCACTTTCTGCAACCAAAACGAAATCTCTTCAGCTAGAAAGTAAAAGCCATTCAATGAATTTGTTTCCCCTAATCCAGAAACATATATAAACCACATTTCATAGTTTTCATGAAAAGGAAAAGAAAAACACACTAATAACTTAGCGTAAGTTATTTCTACATTATTAAATCTATTGAAATCTGAATAAGCTACAGCAAAAAACAAGTTTTTTAAATTGACTCAAAGGTCACGTTTAAATATGAGGGCATTTTTTCCCCTTCTTTTGATTGATATGTTAAGATAAAGAAGATAAACAAGTCCTGTTGAGATTATTTTTCCACAGTTTTCGATGTGAAACTTTATCTGAATTTAAGGACAAAAGACAAGGTTACAGACCAAGTGACCTTCCATTCAGACTTAGACAATGAACCAGTGATTCACTCAGTGGAATTATCAGTGTTGCTCTGAGGCCTCTAGGTTATGTTCCAATACGTCGAGGTATTGGAAATGGCTATCTTTTACTGCTAAAACACCATCTTTTCAGAAGCTTTGTGATCAGGGCCAAGAAGACAAATTCTAAACTGCATATGTTTTCTTCTGAACACAGCAAGTTGGAGAAGAAATTAAAGGGTATTTCCATTTGATAGAATCTCTTTGCTGTTCTCTGGCAGCCTGAATACTGAAATAACACTCAGAGAAATGTGCTTCTCTGGTGTCATTCAAAGGATGCAGCCACCCAAGTAAAAATCAAATCTAAAAGGTAAGACGGCCACAGTGGAACGTGTAATCAACTGACCAAATGGAACTCTGTAGGGTCAAAAGTGACTGTAAAACCTACGCAGACCAGTCAAACATGGCCTATGAGGCAGTCATGCCTGCCCCGTGCACACGCGTTACACAAGCAACTGGCCCCACGCTCCATTTCTAACAAAGCTTCTCTCTAATTGCTAGAAGGTCAAGGGACACCTAAAATAAACCAAATGTGGTTACTACAGATAAAGAAATGAAGAGAAGACTTGTATTCAAATGGAAAATATTCTAATACCTGGAGTTACAAAATAGAATGAATTCTTTTTTTTTAAAAAAAGAGACAAAACGCACAGATGATCCATCATTCCAAGCCCATATTTGAACAGATGCACATATGAAATGTAACAGTGTGAAAAACAAACTACCCAACCCAAATTCTAACCTCTCATGGAATGGGCTTTTCATTTCAAAAACAAGTAGATCATCTGTGACTATTTCATGGTTATCCAACATTTGCTAAGCTTTTCCAGGGTACAGGGAACCGTGTCTGAAAGGTCACAGACACTGAAACAAAATTTAACTTATCCTTTTACCTTCACCTAGACGTGGCAGTGAAACCAAATGAGCTTGGCTATGCCTCATTTGGCTTAGGACTGGAGTGATTTTGTCTAATTATCCATGGCAACATGGTCAGAGTGGCTGTGTGACAGAGACAGACACAGACAGACCAAGATCAGGTGTGCTCTTTTTTAAGACAAAACACAAGCTGTAGTTTGCTATTTCTAACAAAAAAAAAAATGACTCTGCTACAGAAATTAATCACCAACTTGTTAAGTTTTCAGGAGAAAACTTTTGCAATAAAATGTATTGAAGCTATGTGCAAAGATTCTGGAAGGAAGACAAAACACCAATGATGAAACCTGGTCTAGGGGAACATATGCGCAAAGAAGAAACCAATACACAGCAACTCCCAAACAGCCACAGCAGATCCAACAGACTGCTTCTACCCACCAACACACTGAATCTACTAACAAGGCAGTATACTCATAAGGCAATGTAAGACTCCAATCTACTAGGCAACATACTAGACCTAAGGAACAGAACAGCTTCTAAACTTACTTGGGAAAAAGCTCAGAATTTGAGATTCTAATGCTCTAGTGTACCTCATATACAACCAGTGTTTTCATTTGCTTAATTCCCACAGCAGATTTTACACTCTCTATGAAACTTACAGCATCAAATTGAGTGAAAAACGACTCGGGTTTGTTTTCTATATTCTCAGTGTCCACCTTCACATCTACCATGGGGTTGAGATTCTGGGCTCGCTCCAGAGAGGCTTCGGCCCTGTTTCGGCCAACCGACCCAGTACGGATCAGGAACTGAGCTCCGGGGTCTTCTGGAGAAACCTAGGAATAATTTATTTTTTAAATACTTGAATTTGGGGGGAAAACAAATCTCAAAGACAATGAATCTTTACATTTTAAAGGATAATTAAAATACCTACCATCTAATTGTATTACTGGTCCTGCAGATATTTGCCTAATGCAGACTCCCTACACTCTCCAGAGGCTTTAAAATAGCGACATTTAACTTTTTTTTTTTTACTGGGCATTGATGGTTAAAGAGCACCCCCTTGTGTTTATGAAGAAAATTCACTCTAAACAGAAAAGTCCATGCTTTCTTCTTCTACAGTACTTAAATTTGTAACTGCTAACAAAACCACATAATTACCAGAGGTAAGAATTTTCCAAATACCTACCATGTGCCCAACTCTAAGCATTCAGAGGGCAACATAAGTAGTTTAAAAGATGTAGTCCCTGCCTACAGTGGTTTAAAATCAGACCAGTGTAAAAATCAGACACAATTAAGAATGTTTGAAATGAACTCAAATTCAATTAAAACTCAGAAAGGAGGAGAGATGAGTGTGGGCCGGAGCAGAGGTACGATTTCACCCATAAGGCTGGATGTCAGCAGAGGAGAGCCTCAAAGACAGATAATATAATCACTTGACAGCCACCAGTAGGATTACAGATTCCATACGGCTCACAAAGCATTTCTTCACACATCAAACATCTAATTCAACTGTTAATCTCTACAAGAGACTTGGCCACTTTCACCAAGACTGGGTTCAAGAGAAGCAATCTCCCCTCCTCTCCTCCTGCCAACTATCCACACAAGTATCCACACTCTCCCTTACTACCTTTCCTGCCAGAAAGTGAGCTGGTCCTTCTCCCATTCAAGGCCAATCCTCTAACAGTATCCGTGACCCATCCCAGCCTGCTTCTTCAGGGATCTCATTACATACCAGGAGGCTGTACATGAGAGTGGTTAAGAGCAAGGCTCTGGAAGAACTCAGGCAGGATTCAAATCTTTGATTCAAATCCTGGCTCAACCACTTACTGTGTAACCTTGAGTATGAGGCAATGACATGTAAAAGGAGGATGTTAACAAAAACAACGCACTTACTAATCACTCTATTAGCTGTACTCTGCTCCCTTGGCCTCTCAGATCCTGGCTCTCCCCCTCCCTCACTAGACATTCCAGTCTCTACATGGGCCCTCTTAGGTGTGACTGTCCCCTAGATTCCATCTCAGAATCACTCATCTTTTCACTCTATACAGCTCCATAAACCAACTCAATGCCTCTTTTAGTTTCCACCAAAATCTGCTGATATTTCTCAAATCGCTCTTACTGGTACAGATCTCTTCCTGATCTGAATCTTATTAAACTAACTGCCCAGCAGATATTTCCTCCTGGATATCCCATAGGCCTTTCATATTTGACTCATTTATTTGTTGTCTCTGTTGAGGAGTCCACCAACCACCCATCCAGTCTCCTGAACCAGAAATCTGGTATTCACATTCTTGGTATTTCCTTGACAGCAGCCACCGGGTGAGGTGGCTAAGTGCAAGGGCTCTGCCAGGAGTCAGACGGCCTGGATCCTGGTTGTACCACTAACTACCGTGACCTTGGGTGGGCCAGCACTTCACTTCCTTTCCCTCAGTTTTCTTATCTGTAAAATAGGGATAATACTCCCTACATCTCAGAGTTGTCGTGAGGACTAAATGTGATAATAGAACTCCAGCTCTTAGAACACTGTCCAGCACCTTTAGTAATAAGCATCAGCTGCAAATTCCACTCCCACATTCAACCCTATCAATTCCACCACCTAAGCTCTTCTCACCTCTGTGTGCTTCTTGCCCTCTTTATCACCAGTAACAGTACTCTGATCCTCTTCATCTCTCACGGAAATGACTAAAGCAGCCTTCTAAGTGCTCTTCTGCCCTGGATCTTGTGCCACCCATAGTTTATACAATAATTAGTGATCTACAGAAAGCCCAAAGCAGACCAGGTCACCCCTCCCCCATTTGAAACTCTTCAATGACTCCTCCTCACATAGAGGATTAAGTAAAAGCTGACAGCGGGTCTTACTAGCAGGTTCTTCATGACTTGGACCCTACCTGCAACCTGCCCCCACCCCCACCACTTTGGGCTTTACACCAAACTAAAAACACCAAACTGCTTGTTATATTCTATTTCCACCATGCTGTTTTGTGCCTCTGCTAATGTCCCCTGCCTAAAACACAGCCTTTCAACTTGATAAACTTCTACTTATTCTTTAAGACTCAACTCAGATCAGAACTCCAGGAAGCCTTTCATGTCCCCCTACCACAACCTGAGTCAGGCAGTCTTCTCTAGTTTCTGAAGAAACTTGAGAACGGGAACCAAATCTTGCGAATCTTCATATCACCACTACCTTGCATACTTCAGGGTAGCCAAGAGGTGCTCTCAGATGCTTGTTGATGTAAACTAAATGAAAAACTCTAAGGGGCAGGCATTAACATCTTCATTTTATAGATAAGCAAACTGAGTCTATGAGAGGTTAAATCCCTTGTCCAGCTTAAGGAGATGGGATTGAGCCCAAGTCTGCAGGATTCCAAAGCCTTTGCACTACACAGCACTGTCTCCCCGGAATGTTCCCAGTTAGGGAAAAAAGCACAACCAAACTGCAAGGGCAACAACCACAGAGTGTTCATGGACTATTAAATTTATGAGATGGGAGTCAGGCTGGGAAGGGGGCTGGGACCAGGTTATACAAGGCCAGTGGTTCTCAACCCTCCCTGACTGTTAGGTTCACTGGAGAACTTCTATTTTTAAATAACTCCCCAAATATTCTCAAGTGCAGTAAGGACTGAGAACCACCATGTTAAGCCTTGAAAACCAGTCAGAGGAGTTAGGCCTTGCAGTGGAAGGCAGGTGGAAGGCCCTGTAAGTCCTCAAAGTAAAGAGTAAGGAATGACAATCAGCCTGTTCACTCCAATACCAGCTGGCATTCGTCACTGGACTGAGGCAGTGACAGAACCATATCATACACCCCTCGGTGTCACATGATCGTTCTCCATTCTCGAATTCCCCCAATCAGATGAGGAAGTCACCATCCTGTGCGGTTTCATTTTTCCACGCCAAGGGCCTACAAGTGTAGGAACCATCCTTCCTCAGGTCTCCACTCTTAACCTCAGTACACTGCAAACAAATCGTTCCTCTAGTTGGGGTGTTCCTGCCTCTAGGGAGCACTGTGGTTGGGGAGATGTCAAAGCAGCCAGTGCTCAGACGTTAATAACCTGGCAGCTTGCCTGCAGGAATTTTCTTTCCTTAGAAGGTTTTGAATTCAAGTCAAAAATCAGCTTGTGACTGTGATATTAAGTGAGCCAATCTACATCTCTCTTCATATTGCAGAATTTTCAAAAAATAATTCCAGATATTATTTTTCTTCTGAAACCTCAAACAAGGTGAGCTTTTAAAAATTTCGCTAACATTTAATTTTGTCCACAGAGCCCATACCTCACACTGTGTGCTAGTCACTCAGCACGAGACAGGACCCCTGTTCATTGCCTAAAAGACACAGAATACCATGTGACAATACAATCTTTGAAATATTTTACCTAAAGAGACACGATTTCTGGAATTTGCTTTAAAACACTGTGCAGGGCCGGCCCCGTGGCTTAGCGGTTAAGTGCATGCGCTCCACTGCTGGCGGCCTGGGTTCGGATCCCGGGCACGCGCCAACGCACTGCTTCTCCGGCCATGCTGAGGCCGCGTCCCACATACAGCAACTAGAAGGATGTGCAGCTATGACATACAACTACCTACTGGGGCTTTGGGGGGAAAAAATAAATAAATAAAATCTTTTAAAAAATTAAAAAAATAAAAAAACAAACAAACAAAAAAAAACACTGTGCAAAAAAATATAGGGGAGAGGATAAATTTTTAAAAAATCAACAAAATATAATAAGTATCTGTAGAAGCCAGGTAGACGGGTTGTCAAATATTATTCTCTCTACTTTCTTTATATATCTGATATTTTCTATTAAAAAAAGTAAAATGTCATTCAGGTACGAGAATGCAGAGAAATAAAAGCAGTTATTTTCATCTTGGAGAAAAGACAGGTCAGAGAAAGCTACTTTGAAGCTGAGCACTATTATTATATTATCAATTAAACAGCATTATATCATAATTATTATTAATTATTGGATGCTTATTATGTGCAGCCACTAAGCTAAGGAGTCCACATACATTCTCTCTGATCCAATGTTTTCCAAAGTAATGTCTGTAAACCATCTACATCAAGATCTCCTGGGAAACCTTTTTTTTTAATTAATTAATTTTTTTATTGAGTTGAGATACCTTTTAAATGCATATATGCCTGAGCCTCATCTTAGACCTTCTCAAGCAGAATCAGTGGGGGTGAAGGCTATACCATAACGAAGCCCCGAGGCAATTTTGCTTTTTTAATTAGTTATTCAAGTGATTTATAGGTACGAATGGGAAAGCCATTCCTCTACTTCTCACAATCACCCTCGAGTGAGAGGTTAACTCCATTTCCCAGACAGGCGAGCTCAACAAGGAGACGGGACTCCCCACTGGTGGTCCACCTAGGATGTGGTGGAGCTGAATTCAAACCCAGTGCTAGCGCTGTCAGTCTCCAAAGGCTGCAGTTCCGCTGGCGCCAGCCCTCCTTCCCCAGCCCTGAAAGGGCAAGTAGGAACCCACAAGACCTCCAGGTGTTATATGGAAGAGGGGGGGTTGTGAAGGAGAGTGATGGGGGGCCAAACATCTCACCTGTTCGTGATCCAGCATGGTCAGGCCCTTCACTCCTGCCAGGATGAGGTTCTTGGCTATTTCAGCCCCGAGGCCTTTCATGCCGACAAGAAGCACCCGGGAGGCCCGCAGCCTATAAGGCAGACACTGTTAACCAGATGACAGAGGACAGAAGAATCTCGACAAGTCATCGAAGAACAAAACAAGACAAAGTAACAGGGAAATAATTCTGGTTTTTACTAAACGCACTGAAGCATCATGGCCTCAAATCTAGGAAAAAGACAGGTTCCAATCCACCCTGTAGAGAACAGTTCATTCCACAAATATTCATGGAGCACTTGCTATGCCAGGAACATCTCTAAGGGGTGAAATCCAGCAGTGAATAAGACAGACATAATCCCTGCCCTCCCGGAGCTTACACTTCGTGGAGACAAATAAGAGTACATAAAACATCAACAAGTGATGAAAAATCAAACCTGATATGGATCAAGGATGATGGAGGATACTGTCTTAGCCAGACTGATCATGAAGGCCTTTCTAAAGACGTGCTGAGCAAAAACCAAAATGAAACGTAGGACAAACACACAGATATTTGGAGGAGAGCATTCCAGGTAGAAGAAACATCAAATGCAACAGCCCTGAAGCAGAGGAGTGCCTGGCAGGTTTCAGGGACAGCAAGGAGGACAGAGCAGTTAAAGAGCAGAGAGCAAAGAGGAGAACAGTAGGAAATGGGGCTGTAGACAGACCAGGGACTACACCATGACGGCTCCTACAGGCACTGTAAGGACTGTGCATTTTATTCTAAGGATGACGGAAAGCCATGGGGGGAAAGAGTGTCACCGCTGAGAGGAGGACGGCGTGGACTAGCAGGACAGCAGAAGAGGTGGTGAGAACGGGTACTGTTTAGGCTGTAACACAAGCTAAAACGTGGTGCCATGAAAGAGAGTGTATCTAGGAAGAAATGTCTGGATCGTTATAACTGCATAAAGTGACAGAAGTTGAGGCTCATAAAAGCTCTTCTTGGGCTATCCCAGGAAGTCTGGGTTTAACTCTGAGGTCAGTGGGAGGCAGTATAGGTCCACAATACCTCATTTGAAATCCCTTGAACAGGAGTGTTTCAGAAACTGAATTTTTCAGATTTGAAAAAGGAAATAAAGAGTTTCATCATATATTATGAAACAACCCCATCCGGATCTTAGGCAGCACCCTGTAATTAAACTCATTAACATTTCTGCAGCAAATGTATGATTATTCATACTGAAAAGGATTAGTAAGAACTAAGAACAGTCTCACATAAATTCAAGTTCTGTTGGCCAGTGAGTTTGCTCTTAATTTATGAAATGAGCTGATTCTCAACAAGTACCAGTATGAGGGAGAACATGCAGAAACTCTTTTCTAAAAATGGTTCTAGTAATTATGGACACTGGCATCTATTAGACTAGAAGTCTTTAACGAGAATGGTGGCTGATAAGATCAGGTCCTGCACTTACTCTTGATGCCAGCAGCTTCTGGGTTTCCTTCACTGACACAACCAAATGGTAAAATGGGGGGAGGGGGAGAATATTCACAATATTTCCCTCAAAGGCATACGTCTGGGTCTCAGCTTCTCCATTATTGCTTTTTTTCCATGTGGACCTTCCACTGCCAACCACAGGCTAGCAGACACTAGCCTTTCAAGTGACAATTCCACTTCACTAGAATAGGTGGGAATTGGGAACAGGTCTTACAACACACAAGCAAGGTGAGTAACAGAGATGCTAGCAATAGGCAGGTCTCCTCACACATTCAGAGCATTACATCAGCGGGTGGAAGGAGGAAGGAAAGCTAGCGGCTTTCCAGAGGAGGTCCATGGGCTGGCCCGGTGGCGCAAGTGGTTAAGTGCGCGTGCTCCGCTCTGGTGGCCTGGGGTTCGCCGGTTCGGATCCCGGGCGCGCACCGACGCACCACTTGGCAAGCCATGCTGTGGCGGCCTCCCATATAAAGTGGAGGAAGATAGGCACAGATGTTAGCCCAGGGCCAGTCTTTCTCAGCAAAAAAAGAGGAGGATTGGCAGATGTTAGCACAGGGTTGATCTTCCTCACAAAAAAAATAAAATAAAAACAGAGGAGCTCCAATCCCTTGAGAACCAGCAACAGAATAAGCGATGTTTCCAAAGAGAATATGGTGCACACAACAAACCTTTGACATCGGAAAGGCTGAGCACCCTTGCATATAGCTGTGCCTTCCAGGTCTCTGCGGTCACTGTTAGTCTACAAGCCCCCCCTTCACCTGGCCCTGACACCGCCGCACTTGGAATTCCACGTTCCAAGTTCCCTCTCAGTCTCAGTGACAGGGTTTTCCTGTTTGGCTGCTCCAGTAGCTCAAGGATACAGCTAGAATGGCCCAGCTCTCTTTTAGGAATCTGCATCTTCAAACATTACCAACGGCTGTCTCCTAATCTCCAAACCCAATAACTTCTTCACAGGCTCTGTTCTCCTTGACGTTCCTTCAGCAATGGGCACTGCCAATCACTACTGCCCTCTAGGTCTGAAGACCTGGGTTTGAACTCCGGCTCTGCCACTTCCTAACTGGGTGACCGACAGGCTACACAATCTCTCTGAACTTCAGTTTAACCATCTGTAAAATGGGGATACCAATTCTGACTTCACGTCATTTAATCCCCTCAACAACCTGGTAAAATGTGTCTGCAAAGCCATCTAGCATAATCCCTGGCACGTAACAGATGCCCAATATACGTTACTTGAACTTACTGAACTTCTCAATCCCCATTGCCTTAACTATAAAAGGGCTCAGTGACGGGTTTGATTCTGATTTTCAAAAAATATCAGACAGAGAAAAAAAATCTAAAGCTAGCATTTAAAGGCATTCAGGATTGGATCCCTCCTACTCCCCCAGCCTCATCTCCCACTGCTACCGGATTACTCACTCCCCAACATGTCTTCAGTTTCCCACCTGCAGACTTGAAATTGCAACATCCCACATGCCTGAAATGCACCCACTCTTCCTTTCCATGCCTAGTCCAGCCTTTCCCCCAGACTTCAAACCCCAACTCAAATGCCATGTCCTCAAAAAGTCCTTTCTTATCACTGCAGACTCAAGCGAGCAGTCCCTCCACTGAACTCTCAGAGCAAGCGCTACATATAAACGCCTCTGACCTAAGTCACATACAGCCACGTGGCCTCTCCACGATCCCCACATCCTACAGAGCTTTACAGACTGACTGCTCGGGAGTTTACTGAACTGCCATCAACACTGAATATGTCTGTGTGTGGTTAATCCTTAACCACGCTAGGGGCCCCCAGACTACTGCTTATTTAAGGCTCAATTACATGAAAAGCACTTAAAATAGGACCAGGCACATAGTCAGCACTTAATGAATGTCAGCTATTATCATTCATTCTCTGATGCAGCAGTTCCCCTTCTAGGAATCAATCCTACAGAAATGTTCAAGTGGGCACAAAAATCACATACAAACATATTCACAGCAGCATCATCCATCCACTTCCCTCCACCCCCACAGCCACCACCCTACTCTGAGCCACCAGCACTTCTCACCTACAAAACTGCAACAGCCTTACACCTGGTCTCCCTGCTTCCATTCTTGTCCCCCACAACCCACTGGCCCCCTCTCAGGCAGAGAGGTCTTTTAAATTAGATTATGCCGCTCTCCTGCTCAAATCTTTCCATGGTTCCTTGTGCAAGTTCCTGACCATGAGCCCTGCACACCACTCCCATCTCGACTCACCCTACTCTCTCCCTTGGTAACTTGTGACAGCCGAGCTGGGCTCCCTTGATCCTAGAAAACACCATGTCTGCTCCCACCGCTAACGCTTTGGCGCTAGTTGTTCTCTCTGCTTCTTCCCTCAACTTTTCACATAACTTATTCTTTAGGTCTCAGCTCAGCTGTCACCTCCTTAGAGAAATCCACACAGGCCACCTCATCCAAAATGAGTTCACATCCTCTTTCATCTGGAATTATCCTACTTGTTTATATGCTCATTGCCCGCTCCTGTAGAATGTACGCTCCAGAATCCACTGTATCCCTAGCATCTATGACTGTGCTTGGCACTTATGACACTGTTCCTCAAATAGCTGCTGAATTAATACCACACCCAGAGAGGGGGCCAGCCCCGTGGCGTAGTGGTTAAGTGCACACGCTTAGCTGCTGGCGGCCAGGGTTCAGATCCCGGGCGCACACCAATGCACTGCTTGTCAGGCCATGCTGTGGCGGCGTCCCACATAAAGTAGAGGAAGATAGCAAAAAGAGGAGGATTGGCATGGATGTTAGCTCACGGCTGACCTTCCTCACAAAAAAAAAATAATAATAACACACCAAGAGAAACCCAAGTAAGTGTCCATCAGCAGAAAGACATAAATCTGGTATATGACAAAATAATGATAGCTAACACATTCTGAACACACACTATGTGTCAAGCCTTGTTCCAAACTCTTTACCTGTATTATGTCATTTAATCCTCACAACAACCTTATGAGCTGGTACCTTGTTATCCCTATTTTGCAACTGAGGAAACAGGCACAAAGAGGTTAACTAGCTTAACCAAGGTTACGTGGCTAGAAAAGTGGCTACTATAATCAGTCAGTAGATAAGGGCAACAATAAGAGAGCGATTAAGACGATGGACTCTGAGGCCCCATTGCCCTGGTACACACAAATACGGAAAACTAGGCAGCCATTAAAAAGAGTAAGACAATAACAGCAATTAACACTTATTAAACAGTTCCTGTATGCCAAGGACTGTTCTAAGCAATTTATATGTATTCACTCTGCAAGATAGGTACTATCATTATTCTCATTTTATAGATAAGGAAGCTGAGTATGGTAGGCAAAATAACATATCGCCCCCCCTCCCCAAATGTCCACACCCTAACCCCTGGGACCTCTGAATAAATTACTTCACATGACTAAAGGAATTGCTGGTGTAATTAAATCAAGGATATTGAGATGGGGAGATTATCCTGGATTATCTGGGTTGGTCCAAGAAATCACCAGGGTCCTTATAAGAGCAAGGCAGAAGGGTCAGAGTCAGAGAAGGAGACGTGATGACAAAAGCAGAATCCATAATCAAAGAGAGAGATTCGAAGATGCTATGCTACCGGCTTTGGAGATGAAGGA